CTACTTGCTATCTGTCTGTATGTGCATGCTGCTACCTGCTACCTGTCTGTATGTGCATGCCATTACCTGCTACCTGCTAACTGTTTGTATGTGCATGCTGCTACCTGTCTGTATGTGCATGCTGCTACCTGCTACCTGTCTGTATGTGCATGCTGCTACCTGCTACCTGTCTGTATGTGCATGCCATTACCTGCTACCTGCTAACTGTTTGTATGTGCATGCTGCTACTTGTCTGTATGTGCATGCTGCTACCTGCATGCTACCTGCCTGCATCTGACTACATGCATTTACATGATGGGCACATGCCAGGCAAGCGGCTGCTTACTTGATCTGGCTGACTGTATTTTTGTGATGAATGTATCCTTGCACACTCCGCGTGATGATTGTACCTGCATTCGTTAGCACGCTAGATAGTGCTAGTTACGCTAGACGGCTAGCCTGCCCTTGCATCCTATGTTAATAAATTAAATCCTTCCCGCGCCTTTATACGCATAGCATATAGCTACAGGCGCATAGGGCGGTGCCTATCTCCGTTTCTGTAACCCTGAGGCCCCGCAGCTGCTTTCACAGTAAATGCTACAGTAGGGGGTTGCATCCTATGTGTGTATGCATTAATACGCTGCACAAGACTCCCTCCACGGACACACCTCCCTGCGAAGGCGGGTCGAATAAGTCTGCCTCCCTGTGTTCGCGTGTGCTGCACACATCTGCCTGCATGAACACAGCTGACTGCATCCTCGCACATTAGCATCTTAATGAGACAGTTCTCCATTCTCAACAGCCTGAGAACAGCTTTTCCCTAGCAATTTATCGAGAGAGAACACGCACGATGCAGAGGCCCAGCAGAGAATAGCAACACAGAAAACAATTTGTACTACCATACACAAAATTCTATCACTACATAAAATCTGAACTGGCAAGGTAACAGACAACCATGCTGCTTGTCGTAACTGCAACAGAACTGTGTGCATGTCAGCTCGCTGCAGAGTACTTCAACGTCTCCATTTGTTCCTACCCCTCCCCTACCTGCAGGTGGGAAGGAATGAATCGAATACCACAGGCAATGAGGAAGGCATAGATACGGTAAGACAGGCAACAACAACGATGATAAGACAGGTAGCTAGACGAGTAGACATAAAAATAATATGCTAGCCAGACAGCTACAGGAAGGTACAACAAGTGCCGCAGAGTGACAGCGCTCAACTGACGTGTACTGTAGCCGGGTATTCTTCTGATAAACTCACTGGCAACCGAATCAAGTGCGCCCTCCGAGCATATATCTAGGATATTACTAATACAAATCTCAAATCTATGATAGGCTTTGCTATACCGGTAGTACAGTAATAAAGATACAGGCTGTGTAACTTTAATGACTTCACTACATTAACATGTTATCATGGATATATATGCGTCGAGCGTGAGCGTAGTGGTGGTGGTGGTTGGGTGGAGGGTGGGTGGAGGGGGGGAGAGCTCTAATAGCAAAATCAGTTCAGTCCTTTGCTAACAGTCAACAAATCCATGTTTAACCCTCCTCTTAAGGGTCAAAAGGTTATCAGACACTTACTCTTCGCACGTCAGCGGAAAGTAGATTTCATGGTCCTTTCAATAAAGTGATAAAAATGGTAGGTCAGCGCTGAAACAAAAATGTTTTGCACTCGGTCCGTTAGACCATGTCCTCAGAAAATGTCTAAAATCTGCCCTGTGCCCCATTGACCTTTGACCTGTGACCTCCAATTTCAGCACAGCGATGGCTTTTCCTACCATGATGCTATACACCGACTATCACGAGCCTAGGTCGAGCCGTTTAGATTTGTGCCGCAATTCTGCATTTCCTCCCTATACCTGATATCTTAGAAAATGTCTGATATCTGACCTTTCTCCCACTGCCCTTTGACCTGTGACCTCCAATCTCCTTTGCGCTGGTGATGTGGTTCCTCCCCATCACACTATACATCGAATGTTAAGAGCGTAGGTCGAGCCGTTGAGATTTTTGCCGCAATTCCGCATCTCCTCCTATACCTTAAATTAAGGGGGAAATATTCCCCCTACATTGACACATTGTGACCTTTGACCCTTGACCCCCCAAATTCGACATCCCGAGTCCTTTTCGCCGCCCCCCCCCACCCGGATGTCCCGAATATCAAGAACGTCGAGCGTTTAAGATTTGTCCCCAACTGCTGACGGACAGACGGACAGACAAATGCACAGATGGACGGACGGACAATCATGCGATTCTACAAGCTGCATCTGACTTCGTCAGCTGAGCTAAAAACAATGTGGGCAGGTAAATACGCATAGAGATAATATGAGAGGATGGCACAGACAAATAAGAAGGCATAAAGACAATAAGATGGGCTATCAACCATAAAACAAGACATGTGGCACCAGACTGGCACCGGGAAACAGACCATACAAGCTGACAATGTCAGATACACAGTCAAACATCGAGACAGGCTGGCAGGTACATGTGGACAAGTTAAATTACATGAACATAATGAACCAAAAAATGACAATCTCAAGGCAATCCCAACAACATGTACTGATGTGCCAATCCTTGTAGGATGGTATGGAATGAGGGTGCAGGTAGAACATGTAGAAGGAGCAGGTGAGGAAAGAGGAGACCAACCGATAAACCTTATAAACTCTGCTAATAGCAGGCAAGTTGCATGCGCATGCTTAGAACAGGCCAGGGAGAGGGAAGCTACAAAATATATATAGAAAGACTGGCTATAACTCAACACAACGACTATTCTGCACCAATAAATGGCACTTACACTGTAGCTTTCCCTCAGGCATAGCTGATAAGAAACAAAAAGCGAAGATAGTCATTATTAACTGCACAGCTCATACACAACGTGTACCTTCCCATCAAGACTGTAAAACAGGAAAAATCTCTTCAGCATGAAACTTTCCCAGATCTTTCATTGAAACTTCAGAAAATTGAAATCTACAAGCACTTGACTTTGTTCGCTGAGTTTTCAGGTAATTCATTAATGAGCATATACACGGGAGCTCTTTATATTGGAACTCTCAGCTTTGCTTGCTCACTCTATATCCAAATCGGAGCAATAAAAAGGACTCAAGTTCAGAGAAGCTTCAGTACAAACACCTTAAACTGGTTCCATGTGCTATGTAAAACCACGAGTTTACAAGGAAGATTCCGAAATTTTTCATGCATGGTGAAACATTCATGTTTTACAGTTAGTTCTCCACTGGCACCAAGCAGGGCATTCGTAAATATACCCTACTTGGTAGAGATATATGCTTACTTGTCTGTATTGCAATTTGGGTGGTTTGACTTCCAGTAAGCTGCTGCAGATACTGTGATGGAAGTGCCATGGCTGCTTGCTGTGCTGGGGCCGACTATGAAAGAAATAGCAAACATGCAAATGATCAAAAGAATTGCCCGATAGTTGTTAAACTTGAGCTGACAATTAAAGCAAGGAAATCACGTTTTTCTAATAATTCTCATATTTTCTCGATCACACTGATAACAGCACTCCTTGCATAATAACAAATGTATTGAGTAAGCATAGCATGTCTTAAAACACTCACTCAATATTATTTCCACTATTATATGCACAAATCTCCATTTCAAAGTAGATTTGGATATATACACACCATCATCACTAGCCCGTGATTCTCGCTCTAGCTAGATGCCACCGACCTGTAACCCTGTATCTACACAAGGTTTTCTAAATGTCAATTAAAGAATATATTACATGTAAAAAAAAGCATCACAACATGAAGTGTCTAGTACACCTCTACTGTCTACCATGAAACCAAAGGCTTGACTTACCAGTGTAACTACAGATGCTGCTGGAAGAAGATGGGGAATGAGAGTGACTGGAACATTAGCTAGCCCCCCAGCAGATGCCACTGCTGCCATGGTAGCTGAAATACATATATCGATGTCACTAGAGATGTCCTGATGATCGATTATCATCAAAAGCCAGTCGTTTGCAGCAACCGACTAAGCGCTCGATTATGAAAATAAATAATCGATTATCGAAAGAAAAAAACTAAAAAAACTAATTAAAAATAAAACTAGCACACATTGATGAAATGACTCTTCATTTTATTTGTACGTGTTTTTTGGTTACTTTACAGCTTGGAGACAGTAAAATTTATCTAACCTACACCCAAACATAAGCAAGTATAATACTGTTTCATAGCTGTTAGAATATTGTATTATGGAAAAGATTGAATTATATGATACATGATATATTTCAATATCTGGTAGCCGCGGTCAATAAGAGTCAACCAATTATCTTCGATCATCGATCGGTTGGGTGCAACCGATGATCGATGATGAAATTCCAACCGATTCCCATCACCAGGTGTCACTGATGTTGGAAAATTAGTATTGTAAATGAATTAAACACTATCACCTAGGCACAATGACTTGTATACATGTGATATATTACGAGTTTCTGTACTAGTATGTATATTCTGCGCAGCAGTCATATATATATGCTTCTAATTAACATTGTCTTACCACATTCTAGTTTGAACCATTTCATCACTACTTTCTCCTACTGCACCTACTAATTCTTATTTCTACAGCCGAACGTATCTATTCCCTTCTAAACATAACCCTTTAATCCTGTAAATTAGCTTTTGAATAGTTTACCTGTATACTCTGCTACATATGTATACTGCATACTGTATGCTCAATTGTGTACATGCTGCATGCTCTCTTGTGTCTGCCCAGCAATTGAGATTGCTGTTTCCATTTATCTGTGTGGTTTATACGTCTTGGGTATGCGGCATTGTGGAAATAATATATATCTGTGTAAGCTGATTCTTGTGACCTAGTACTCCCCTGCATTAAAGTTCCATATATTTCTGATCTTTCATTTGCTCCACATTTAATCCATGTCAGGCTTATTGCTCTATGTCCCTGGTTCTCTGGGAACCTCAACAGGGTCGGGCTTCTCGGGGCGGCCAGCAACTGACATACATCGACCAACTCAAACAAGATACTGGCCTGCAGTCAGCCGATGAAATTCGGTCAATTATGCTGCACAGACCATCCTGGCATGCCATCACCATTCTTCCCGAGGAGACTCGACCTGATTGATTGATTGATTGATTGATTGATTGATTGCTCTATGTTTACCATGGGGTCATGCTTAGCCTACTGTTATGTGTACTCACCCATGAGCCTCTACTAAATCTCAAAACAACGTACCTACCCTATTGATGTGCATTGAGCCCAGCCTGTGCCTGTCCTTCAGTTTAGCACGTGGACATACCTTGTACCTATGCTAGAGCATAGCATATGATAACCACCCTGCCTATATGCCAGTGTGTAGCACATGCTAACTACTCTATGCCTGTCCTAGAGCGTAGCACACACTAACTAGGGTGCCTGTGCTAGAGCGTGGCATATATATGCAAACTAAACTCTGCCTGTGCTAGAGTGCAGCACACACTAACTCCTCTGCACATGTGCTAAATCATGGCACACTGTACCTACATACTCTATGCCTGTACTAGAGCATAGCACACTGTACCTACTATGTGCCTGTGCTCATAGCACACTGTGCCTACTCTGTGCCTATGCTAGATCATAGCACACTGTGCCTACTCTGTGCCTATGCTAGATCATAGCACACTGTGCCTACTCTGTGCCTATGCTAGATCATAGCACACTGTACCTACTCTGTGCCTGTGATAATGCATAGCATACTGTACCTGCCCTTTGACTATGCTAGAACACAGCACACTGTACCTAACCTGTGCCTGTGATAATGCATAGCATACTGTACCTGCCCTTTGACTATGCTAGAACACAGCACACTGTACCTAACCTGTGCCTGTGATAATGCATAGCATACTGTACCTGCCCTTTGACTATGCTAGAACACAGCACACTGTACCTAACCTGTGTTTGTGCTTGAGCCTAGCACACTGTACCTACCCTGTGACTATGTTAGAACACAGCACACTGTACCTAACCTGTGCCTGTGATAATGCATAGCATACTGTACCTGCCCTATGACTATGCTAGAACACAGCACACTGTACCTAACCTGTGCCTGTGATAATGCATAGCATACTGTACCTGCCCTATGACTATGCTAGAACACAGCACACTGTACCTAACCTGTGCCTGTGATAATGCATAGCATACTGTACCTGCCCTATGACT